GGGGGGGAGGGGAGGGGATTGGGGGCAGAAGGGGAGAGATCGGGACGGTTCAGTTTTTCCTTTTTCTTTTTTAGTGTGATATAAAGCAGGGGTAAATACGACTTTTCCTGTCAAAGTTGACGGTGTTAACAACAAAGAATGACGGAAGTGTCATAGAAGGAAGAAATAAAGTTATGTTGTCAAAGAAGGAAAAAATAAATTTTTAGGGCCAAAAAGGGAACCAAAATTTAAGAAAGGGCCAAATAAGGAATTCTCTTCTTGAAATCATGTTCGCATTGAAACATTTGCATTTTTCAATGACTTTGTGTTTGAGCAAAATATACATTGGCTTTAAAAAAGATATGTACCTTTAAAATCATGATTGCTTTCAAAATATTTTCATTAGTTAGGAGCTTTAGGTTTGAGCAAACATGTATGATTGGAGCAATAGCCCTTTTGTATACAAATAATGAAGGAGCTAGCATCAAACATTGAATAGCAGATGAACAATAGTTCAAAGCGTCTCCATAATAGCAATAGCTATCGTTTGACATTTGTTTTATAACTATCAAGCATGCCTAAGACATCATTCAATTGAATCCACGTAACAAGTATATAGGGGCACCATCACATAGATTAAAGAGAAAAGAGGGATTAATCAATAGTTCAACACTAAGGCCCTGTTTTGTTTGGCTGTGGATTTCTAAAATCAGCTGCGAAAAATCTACTGTGGAAAAACAGCTGTGAAAAATCTGATGTGAAAAATATGTAGGTCATTTGACAAACCAGCTGATACAGCTTTTTCAAATTTTAGCCCGCAGCGGAATCAGATTTTGAAAAGCACGTCCTGGGCTGCTTTCGCTTTTGGTTCAGATTTTGGCAGCGGATTTCTGAAATCGGATTCTGCTGGGTTCGCCCTTTGGTTCAGATTCTGCTGCGTGGCAGCGGAATCCGTCGATAAAAGCTGAACCAAACAGGGCCTAAAGCATCGACCACTTGCATGGTGATAGGAGCCAATGGCAATGTGTAAGTCTCTAAGTTGCCGTACATATCCTCAAGACTTGGGAGTGCTCCATGGTCAGCAATGCATCGTTGTACGCACAGCTTTGCTACAACCGATACATGCACCTCAAACAACATGCTGGTGTTTTTACCTGATAAAATAGGTAGTGGTTTAAATTTATTTGCCAGGTGTAGATTGTACCAGTAACTTGTATAAAAAATGCAATGTTTCATTATGATCACCATCCAACTATTTTTACAAAAGAAAAACTGAATCTAGAAAACAAATGTTGTTTTCCGCTGTAATACCTGAATGAGCTAGTTAATAAATTTAATCTGAATTTGACATCAGAAGCATTAGATTTTGTGAGCTTCTCTATGAAATTATACTGTCATGCCATGTATACAACAGAGAAGTATCACATGGATTTCATAGAGAACTAAAGAAACAAAATTTTCATGTATTAATAATTTCATAAAGTATCTAATCTGAACAATCCAATTAGATATACAAGCAGCTATATATACAACACAAAAGTAGAGGCATGACAGTATAATAAACACTGTCGATCTCTTGGGTTGTACATTGTAGGTTACCATCCTAAAGTTAACTTGGCAACAACCTAGATTGCAACCTATGTCGTGGACTGGCGGGAGACACAGAGGTGACCTGCAAGCCAAGATGAGGGAGGGGGGCAGTTAGAGAGAGAGAGACACGATGACGACTTGCAAGCATGTGAATTATAGTCCAGTAAATATCACATGGCATTGGGAGGAAAACAAAAATTAAGGCGCTGACAATTAGTAGAACCCAATACCCAGATATTGAATAAGGTGTGACGCTAAAGTTAGTCCAAGCATCTCTCTGTCAGAACATCCACAACATTTCACCTCTAAAGTTCACCTCTAAAGTTCACCTCTACATACTTTTTTACTAAATAATGTTTCGCCAATAATGCATCTCTCTGTCAGAAAATCCAACCGATGGTGGAGTTTTTTTGTAGGTAAACAGCAGCAGTAGGCCAGAACCTACTGTGAGAAATTCAGTACCAGTCATATACAATACCCAAAAGTTTCTACCATTTATTAATGCACACTGAAAAACAGACATCAGATGATCATATAAATGCACAATAGAGGATCTACAAACCTGAATAGCAGGGCAAAGCCATACGACTCTGCCATCATACTGAAGACAGGCCAGCCAATAAGGACAAGGAAAAGTACGACCCTGAAAGCAATCGAACATTGCACATTCAGGTGATCTTGTTAGCTCATAACTGAACTGGAACTGAACAATTTGGATACATGACTAATTCTTAGGCCTGCATCGTTACATGCATATGACCTTGCGATTCTTGGGCTTTGTGAAGAACTGTACGGTTGACTTCAGCCCAATGGCCAGCGAAACACCAGAGACGAAGATAATCTGACATGAAATACATGATAATTAGGAAGGAATAGCTTAGAGCGAAGTATAAGTAAGCACAACCCGATCTCTGTTGAAAAATGTGAAACAATTTTAGCAGGAGTTCAGAGATGCAAGTGCATTGTACAAGACAAGCCTCACTTAGTTAAACTAAACATCCAACATGCATACTTAGAAACTATTAGATCGTTTCTCCTGGTTAGAAATAGTTTGAGCGAGTTTAGAAGAAACTTTAGCAACTATTAGATAGTCCCTCCTGATTATATCTTCCTGGAAATCTCTACAACAACCAGTGACCAAACAGTAAAACACCCAATAGTGCCAAGCATGAACAGATGTACACTATAATTATACGAAGTGCGGTTCTGTGAATAGTATCTAGAGGAAGCAATTCTTATTCCATCCAGCCCTTCATCCGGCACAGCAAGATGGATCCATATCCATAATTGGCATTGTATGAACTGCAGTTTTCTTCATTAAATCTAGACTGAGAATTGGACAAATTTGCTTCCGTGTACAACAGAGAGATATATCAGGGGAAGAGAGAGAGCACGGAAAGGAGCGGGGAAGTACCTGCGCATGGAGGGGAGGCTGGCCTCGCCAGCGTCTAGCCGTGGGGGTGAGGAGGAGCACGTGAACGAGGGCGGCCTCGACCAAAAGAACGGCGATGGTGACAGATTTGACGGCCTCGGGCTGCCATTGTCAACACCTACCTCGCCATCCTCGTTGGGCGGGGAAGCATCTACCCACGGCGCTGCTCGTGTAGGCACGGCCTGGGGCGACTGGACTTTGGGCATGAAGCTCCTGTCCATCCCCTTCCCCGTTGTTCCTCTACCTCCCTTCCTCCTCTCTGCTATTCATCCCCTTCCCCGTCGTTCTATCTCCCTTCCTCCTCTCTGCTACCCCTGGATCCGCCTGGGTCGGGCCGGGACGAGATAGGGAGGAGCCTAGCGGCGTCCGGCGCGGGAGGATGCGAGAGGAAAGAGATGATGGAGGAGGGGTGCGGCAGCTGTGGCGGGTGACAAGCGAGGAAGGAAGGAAGCAAGGAGAAGGGGCCACGTGTTGCTCAATGCAGTGGGTCTCTGTTGTGGAGACCCACTGCATTGAGTAATACGTGACAGTACTAATCTTAAAGCATTGAGACGACTTCTTCTTCAATCCCGCTGTGAAATCCCAACTACCCATCCGTCATTGCATTCAACGAGTTCGCGAGGCCTGTCGCCAGCGCTTCGCTCCGGACGTGATGCCTGCTGGTGGTGGTACTGCCTGTCGCCCCTGCCGGTGGAGGCCACGCTCCTCGACACCGGCGAAACTCTGCTGCTCGCCGCCGGTCTGGCCAGAGCACCGTCGTCTTGCCATGGCGTCTTCATCGTCGGGAAGGAACTCGCTGTGGTTGGAATCGAAATTTGGTGAAGGTTAACTGCTTGCCGCCGGTGTCGTGAGCACTTCATCTCGATACCACAGGAGTCCAAGAAAATTCATCTAGTCTAGCGAGATGACAATGAAGTTGTTTGGTCGGCTGCCGCCGTCTGCCCAAAGAACCGCCGTCTTGCTACGACGTCGTCCTTGTCGGCAAGTTACTCGCTATGGTTGCAATCGAGATTTGGAGAAGGATCGAGGTGAAGTTGAGGTGAAGTCACCTGTTTGCTTTAAGATTGGTACTGCCACGTGTTGCTCAATGTAGTGGGTCTCTAGAACAGAGGTATACGACCAGGTCGTATAGGATTTTTTTTCCATGTGGGAGGCGTCTGTGGGGACTGAGCGAAAAAATGCACTGTGCAAGAGACAAACGATTTGACATCGTCGCACGTCCGGTTGTCTTCGCCTTTCCTCTACAAGTTAATTACATCTGCAGACAACAACTTGTAGGAAAATAACAGAATCATAAAAAACTAAAAAAACCCAGAAAAATGATACACTAACTTAACCAATAGCACGTTTTGATACAATTTCCGTCAACTATAACAGTGCATGGTCTGTCGCTGTTAACTACCGCTACGTTGCCCTTTTGCTCTCCCTCTGTCCTATGTGGGTTCCAGTCGTTAATGGGATAGAGAGATAAATAAACAAAAAAAAAGCGATGGTGCAGTACAATAACTTGTAGGGAAATAACAGAGTCATAAAAAACTAAAAAACCCCAGAAAAATGGTACACTAACTTAACCAATAGCATGTTTTGGTACAATTTCCGTCAACTATAACGGTGCACGGTCTGTCGCTGTTAACTGCCGCCACGTTGCCCTTTTGCTCTCCGTCTGTCTTATGTGGGTCCCAGTCGTCAGTGGGATAGAGAGATAAATAAACAAAAAAAATAAAGCGATGGTGCAGTACAATAACTTGTAGGGAAATAACGGAATCATAAAAAACTAAAAAACCACAGAAAAATGGTACACTAACTTAACTAATAGCATGTTTTGGTACAATTTCCGTCAACTATAACGGTGCACGGTCCGTCGCTGTTAACTGCCGCCACGTTGCCCTTTTGCTCTCCGTCTGTCTTATGTGGGTCCCAGTCGTCAGTGGGACAGAGAGATAAATAAACAAAAAAAATAAGGCGATGGTGCCCTAATTCGAACAGTAGACCTGCCTTAATACCACTCGATCGCTGACCACTACTCCAGAGCATTCGCAATGCGGAAATCGAGGCAAATAACTATCTATACTTACAGCTTCAGATACGTGCTAGCCTTGTTCGGCTGTTTTCGTTTTTTACGTGTTCTTTTTGTTTCGGTGTTTTCGTTTTATCTTTTTTCAGATCTTGGGATTCTTCAATTTTTCGGTTTTTTGCACATTTTTTATATACCTTTTGTAATATACTGTGTACTAGACAAATACTGTACAGGTTCTATCCCATCTTGAAGATAACACGCCGCTCGCGTCGACGCTGTACGCCTCGTCTATGCAAACCTAGTGCAGCCGCTGATGCAATCCGAGGCCATATCACGCGGCGCAATCGGAACAAAGTAGGGTCGCGTGTTATAGGGTCCGTCTCTTTTTACACTTGTGCATTGCGTTTGACATAATGGTAGTACATGCCCAGTAGGCCAGTAGACCCAATTGAACGTAAGACACCCAAAAAAACCACTGGAGCAGCGGCTCAAAAAGGCCAGCGCAGCTTGACCCGCGAGTCAGCCTGCGGACGAGATTTAGGTGGGACTAACAATGAATCTGACGGCCAAAAACAACTACAAGTGGCAATGCAATGATTAGAAATGCCGATGGTCTGAGAGGACTCGAAGGGTGCTCAGCTATAATGTATTTAAATTTCATCTCATATGAAGAATTCACGATATAATTCATTTCACGGGATATTAGACCCTTAAAGAGATGAAAGTTTCAACGTTTTGTTCAGGCTCTATATTTCATGAAGTTTTTGAAAATTACTTAAGATATTGGAGTTGCTCTAGGAAACATGTGTGTTCTTTTTTAGTATGTGTTTTGTAAAAAAAGTTTTGATACAGTAGAAAAATTATTTTAGAAAATTGTCTAGTATGTGTTCTATAAAAAAAGTTCAATATAAGCGTAAAAAGGTTTAATATACATTAATAAATTCATCATATACAATAATGATTAGTGTGTATTTAATAAATGTTCATCGTATAATTAAAGAAAGATCACTGTATATTAAAAGATGTTCAATATATATAACCAATTATTCATCATATATTAATAATGTTCAGTGTGAATTTATACAATAATGATCAGTGTGTATTTACAAAAAAACGTATATGAAAAAGTCCAGTGTGTATTTGAAAAAAATGTGCACCATATATTAGAAAAAAGTCGACCGCATTGGAAAAAAAGTTCACCATATATTGCAAAAGGTGTACAAAAAAGAAATGTGTAAAAATAAAAAGGGGAAAAAACTGAAGAATACCCAAGATCTAAAAAAAGATAAAAGAAAAAAACGAACCGAAAAGAACACATAAAAACGGTAACAGTCAAAAAAGGCGAGTACGTGTCTGAAACTTAGAGTATATATATACTGTCTCCTCAGTTATATCACCATGGGTGGAGTAGCGTCTTGGTCAACGAGTTCTCTGTACATTGGTTGGTCTGTAGCTCGAATCCCACTGACAATTGGGACCCGCACAGGGTAGAGGGGAAGCAAGGTCACGTTGACGCAGTTAACAGCGGAGGACGGTGCACCGTTATGATTAACGGAAAATGTATCAAAATGTGTTGTTAGATAAGTTAGTGTACCATTTTTCTGGGTTTTTTTAGTTTGTGTATGATTTTGTTAGTTCGCTACAAGTTTTTGTACTGTAGATGTAATTAACTCTTCCTCTACCACCACGTGTAGCAACCGGACAGATTGACTTTCATCAACGATCCAATTCACCTAGGAAGGACCAGCCGAACCTCACTGAAGAAGGGCCACAAGTCATTCAAACGTGAAGAACAAGCACTGGTCAAACTTATTACCATGCAGTCAACCGATCCAATGTCAGCAGAGGAAGTCAAAGCCCATCCGACGACCACGAGCAATACGCACGGGAGGAGCTCCGTGGAGGAGGGTCGGCTAGCATCCTTATAGGTTAGAATACTAGAAGAGGTGTCATAATAGGGTGATATTGATAGTAGCAGTAACGGCTAGACACGACCGATTGTTTCATAGCCTTAACTGAGCAATAATGACCGTAGTTAACTAGATATTCACCGAACGGCTCATGGCCTTAACTGACCAGTAATGATCGTAGTTAACTGTAGATATTCACCGAACGGCTGCCTTCAATGCTTCATGGAGATTGTGGGTGACCCCTCCCTTGGACGACTATAGAAGGTCGACTGTTACTGGTCATGCTAGTGACTGATCGGAGGGCTTCGTCAGACTAAAAGGAATGTGGCTTCTCGATTGAAGGTTTCCATATTATTAGCCCAACTCAAAGTGCCTTTGTGCCCGGCAGACTGATAACAGATAATATTTTAGTAGCATATGAGTGTTTTCACACAATCAAGAATAAAAGAGAAGGTAGAGAGGGTTTGTGCGCTATAAAATTTGATATGCACAAAGTTTATGACAGAGTTGAATGGCCTTTTTTAAAAGAAATTATGTTGCAACTGGGTTTCCGTCAAGATTGGATAAATTTTATTATGCAGTGCGTTTCAACGGTCGAGTACAGAGTAAGGATTAATGCGAAGGAAAGTGAGAGCTTGAAGCCTACAAGGGGTTTGAGACAGGGAGACCCGTTGTCACCATACCTCTTCTTGTTGTGCATTGAGGGTTTGAACGCTCTACTTACACATGCGGAGGAAAATGGGAAAATTTCAGGAGTAAGAGTTTGTAGAGACGCTCCACCTATCACAAATATTCTCTTTGCGGATAATTCTTTGATTCTTATGAAAGCCAACCAACATAGTGTGGAAGCTCTCAAAGCAGTGCTAGATTTATATTGTGAGGCTACAGGACAATTGATAAGTGTTGAAAAATCCAACATTTTCTTCAGCCCATACACAAAGGTGGAAATAAGAGAGCAATTGTGTACAAAGCTGAATATAATGACGGAGGCTCTCAGTGATAAGTATTTGGGTTTGCCAGCAAATGTGGGAATAGATAAAATATATTGTTTCCAATTTCTGATTAAACGTATTGTTAATAAAATTGGTGGTTGGAAGGAAAAATTACTATCTGTCGGGGGAAAGGAGATCCCGCTCAAGGCTATGATCCAAGCCATACGCACCTATGCAATGCCGGTCTTTAAAATTCCTAATTTTTTTTGTAAAGGAATCATTGACACGATAGTGCATTTCTGGTGGGGAGACGAGAAGAATCAGAAGAGGATGCATTGGATGTCCTGGTGGAAAATGTGCGT